ACAGGATATATTCCTGGTGCGGGAGTTATCTTTTATTAAAAAACGAAAAAAAAAAATGAACTGTATCTTGCGCTAGATACGACACACAGGCAAACATTTGCTAAATATTTATTGGTTCAATACTTAACGTAATTAAGATTATAACACTTAAAAATATATTTTCTTTCATGCACTGCACTAATAATCAGTTGCAATTACGAAGCAGTGCATAGTAATGAATGACGTGCGAAAAAAATGAATTATGATACTTAGATAAAAGACATTTAAAAATAAAAGACATTAAAGACACTAAAATAGATAATGTTATGTAATTGATAGAATATCTGATGTCTAAACTAAGCCTAGGCTGTATTTATAAAGTTGTGAAGACTTCGACTAACGAAGACACATCGAACTACGGACTAACTGTTGATTCTGTGTCGTGATATGAAAACTTCTCACGCCGATTAGAATTAATATTAATACAACCGTCCAACCGTTGGGTCACATTTGCCAAGCATGATCATTTTGCTTGGTAGGAGACTCCAACTACTATTTTAAAATTTTGATACTTGAAACAAACTATTTTGACTCAATGGTGACATACCGAAGCGTCCTTAATATATATAACAGTATTTTTAAACAATATGAACAAACTGCAATAAATAATAGTCAAGTCAATAAAAGTTAATTAAATTCAGACTTCACATATCTGTCACGTCCGCTGTTGTGATGACCCTTACTGTTAATTCTCATTTTGACGCTATTGTAAACGAACTCGTTTCGCTCACGACACAGTGGATAATACGAGTAATTAAACTTTTGATGATTGCACTACATTGAACCTTTCTGTGAGGCTTTTTCACTGAGCCTGTCGAGCTTGCCTATTGTACATAAAAAATAGTTTACAAGGAATATCTACACTTCTACAGGCCGCCAGTCTTTCTAGCCGACTTCAATCAAGGAGTTCTCAGTTCGGTTGTTGTCTTGTCTGATCTGATATAACGTTTTGGGATTTTATTTTAAACACTTTCCGTTTGATTCTATTGAAATTGGAAAAAAATACCATACAATGGCGCTGTTGGCACGTTGCTCGCAGAAATATACAGCATGATACTCATAAATTATATATTAACGAAAGATACATTATCTAGATGACCAAGCTTTGCTCGTTTTTTTTTTTTAGGAACTTTTATTAATCGCCCCCGTAACCCCCTGCACACTGAATTTCATGGAAATCGTTGAAGGAAATCGTGTCCGAGATTCAGATCATACATCACTAAAGATTTATGTATTTTTACTAATTTCAAATCTGCCCTTTAATTAAGTGAAGTTTTAGTATTTTTGCATGTTATGTTAGGTACTTTATTTATCAATAATATGAAGCGAAGTATGCGTTACCGATGGAGAGGTCATTGACACTTGCGCGCCTACCGATGGCAGTGTGTCTACAAATTGCGAGTTCTTGAGACAACCTTGTGATGCTAATTACTCAATATTTTTGCACCATGTGATACTAAACTAAAGTGTGGGTTTCTCATAAATTTTAATAAAGATTCTTCTATGTTAATATGGACGGAAAATTTAAGGTCACTTGTATATACATATATACAAGAATGGCTCATTTAAAGGTATTAGAATTTATATGCGTAAAATACAAGAAACAACAAAATATAAATAAGAAAAAAAGTACGAATTCTTTCAAATATTTACAGCTAGCATTTTCTTCACTCTAAAGAACGCCTTTAACTAAAAGCATTCTCCATCCGCTACTTCAAAACCAATGTTTTGTTTGAAAAAGTACCTTAAAATAAGAATGCAACAAGCTAAGAAGTTTCAAACACCTCAACCTCGATTAAGCTAAGTAATTTTTAATGCGAGTTTGTTTCCTTTTCCTTACCGTCATAAATCATTGTCTAAACTTAAAACAACTCAATGTTAACCAGTCCGTGCATAATGTATATTATATGACAGACTTCTTGAATGGTCGAATTTTTAAAGCTTTTCTTGTTCCGCAATCCATTCTAACCGATATTCAGTTCGATTGCAGACAGCTTGAACATTATTAAACGAAATAGTTTCTTGTTTACATAAACACGAAAATTTCAAACACTATTTTTGTAAATTATCATCATCATCATCAACAGCCTTTAATAGTCCACTGCTGGACATACGCCTCTCCTTAGAAAGGAGGTTTTGGCCTACTATACCACGCTAGCCCAACGGGTTGGTATAGGGTTTGTGTCAAGTTTTCCTTCTCTCTGCAGTGCTGTTGTCCTGCGTAGTTTTTTCCCTTAGTCCCACGGGATGAATAGAGGTGGTGACACTCTGTATTCTTAATCCGTCACCACATGGACATTGTAAATTAAGTAACTCGTTTACCGAGGAAGTCTTCGGGCTTAGTTTAATCTGGATCCGTTTAGTAATTAAGAAGTGATTGAATAACAAGCATTTTGACAATTTTGCACAACTATGATATCACCAACTATCCGATGTTTTGCTCTTACTTTTTAAAATATAAAAATAGTGTACTCTGATCTGAATTTATATAAATGTCTTAGTCTCAAGTCTCAGTCTCATCTCCAGATATTGGACATCTCGGTTCCAGTTATATTTAAAAAAATCTGTTCTCGTACAAACTTATTTACTTAGAAGTGGAATAAACCAAAGGTTAGATAAACATAGATGTGTATTTAAGAAATGGATCAGTATGTTTAAAATAATTGATAGAAACTCGAATCTACATACATGATTATAGTAAGGCTGTATGCCTGTGATCTATCTACGCACAAATATGTACTGTATAGGTTTGCGGTTCCCACTCTCATCTCATATCAGATATAAGCTGTTTAGTCTCACATATCTAAACACATTTCTGTGTAAATGTACCCGCAAATCTACACATAATTCTACGAAAACACACGCTGTCAGTAGTGACTAGATTTGCCACAATGTGTACCGGATAAAGCTTGAGTAATGTTGTTGTAATAGATGCAGGTTTATCTTAAAGCTGGCGTCTAAGAGTTAAATATACCGAACCGTCTATCATATTGCTCTGTATATAATAATCTTATGCAGCTTAGTAGTTTTGTTGCAAAATATTCAATACGATGCTTCTACACGATGCAAGTAGCTTGCGCATGTTGTGGCACTTGCGCAGGTTATTTGCTTTGCGATAAGGACTCTACGGGTCCAGCGACTCGCGCGGGTTGCTTGCGCAAGTAACACGTACGATCCACGGTGCGCACGAGCCACTCGCGTGGTTTACTTGCGCAGGTACATTAATCAACTGTGTCAAATCTGAAACGAGCAAGACGCATACATGTAACCCCGCGAGCAGCATGCACATTATACATGATACCTACTGACGCAAATAACCCACGTCTTTGCCCGCTCCAGCTAATTACACCGTGTAGACCCTTAAAGTAAAATACTACTTATATATTTTAACAGTTTGAGGTGGTCAATTTGGAAAGAAAAAAATGCTTCGCAAATTGCACTATAGTTTCTAATCTATGTAATTTGTGAAAAATGTAACAGAAATGACGATTGATTTAGATATTTTTTATTAAATTAAGTGATTTCATATATCGTGTAAATTAGAACTATAATAATTTCGTATTTCACTTGACTTAATGTCCACTCCTAAATAAAATCATTTTTGCCGACTAAAAACAATTTCAAATTATTTTTACTAACTTTTTTTACCACAATGTACAAGTGGTAAGACGCTGGCTAGACGGGTTCGTATAGGGTTTGTTTTAAGTTCCCATATCCAACAATGGACTATTAAAGGCTGTTGATGATGATGATGATGATGATTTGTACATTGTGATTTCTTAATTATTCAAGTATAATCTTATCCTAACAGCCAACGTGAATTTGGAATAAAGTGGTTGTGTAATCAAATTGACGTCAACCCATTACTAACATTAGAATTACCCTTAGCTGGTTTGTTTAACAAAAAATCTAGGAATATGTTCTTCACATTACCAACATTGTGTCAAATATGTATATAGATGGAGATAAGTATAAATAAATTTATTTCAAGTAAAAACTTATAATATAAATATATATGTATAAATATAATATAATATATATAAATAAGTATAAATTTATTTCAAGAAGCCTAATACATACATGCAGTGACGGATTAAGAATACGGAATGACACTACCCCAATTCATCCCGTGGGTGTGGTAAGAGTCGATTAAGGGCGCAAAACATCGCAGGACACCAGCACTTTTGCAAAGAAGGAAAACTTGATACAATCCCTATACCAACCCGTCTGGCCAGCGTGGTATAGTAGGCCAAAACCTCCTTTCTAAGGAGAGGCCTATGTCCAGCAGTGGATTATTACAGGCTGTTGATGTGATGTGATGTGAATACAAACATAATTCAATGGTATTAACACAGTTTATGACAACGCCAAGAATTTTGCACAAAATTTTTGTTTTTGGCGTCAAGGTTACATCCTTGACGCCTAAACTAGGACATGTCCTGTATCTTATGCGTCATGTACACCTCTGTACCTCCATGTTTTTTTACTATTCCAACATCGTGTTCCATAAATTCTTGTTGTAAGTAATTACAAACTAGTAACTACTGCAAGAACAAGCTCCGGTTGCAGTAGCCGCTAGTTTTACAAACTTTTTAACGGGTGATTTACTGGCATAATACTGCAATTCTAACTTGGGTACTTTGGAAAATTAAGTAGTTTAAGAAGTTACTGTACCCTTGCTGCTTTTATAACGGTTTAAGTTTTGGAGTTACGACTATTGTAAGTAAACCACAATGTTTTTCTTATTTATTCCATTTTTTTTAAAACTTAATGCACATATTGTACAAAGGCGAACTTTATGCCATGAGGCATTCTCTCTCAGTCGAAATTCACTTCTCATTTGTTCTGTTTGGGTTTAGTTTATCTATGATGTGCGGGATGACTTTCCATCAGATGACCCGTCTGCTCGTCTGCCCCCTCTATCATAGAAAAAAAAATGATGTATCAGCAATCTAGTCACCATGGTACGGGCTTTGCGTACTTTGGCGGTGGTACTCACTTATCGTCAGGTGACTCGTCTGCTCGTTTTTGTCCCGTATATCGTAAAAAAAAGTTATTTCGTTAGTTGCCCTTAGATCATTAATTATCCAACCGATCATTATGAAATCAACTAGCTTTTGCTGACTTTGTTGGTCATCGACAGACATCGTAGTAGTTATACTGAGAGTTTGAAATTTTTAAAAATTGTTCCCATACAAACTTTTTAAGGATAACTCTGACAAATTTTTTAACAATGTATTTATTACTTTTAATAAAGAGTATTTACTGTGAGTTTGAAAACGCTGCTACCAAAAATATCGAAGTTTCACATAAATTAACAGCCCCCATTTAACACCCTTAGGGTCGGAATTTTTAAGAATCCTTTCCGAGTACACACCTACCTTCCTACCTTCCTTCCTACTTCACCTAAGGAACATTTGCGCAAAATTCCATGCTTCTAGACCCTGCGGTTTCAGCTGTGAATCAGTCTGTGAGTTTGTTGTTTTATAGATATAGATTAATCATTACACATTGTCAAAGATGCTTCAAAAAATTTAGGATAAGTAGCTACTTATCCTAGTAAGGATAAGTAGCTAAATTCTAGCTAGGAAGTAAAAGAACAAAAAATGGTAAAGGATTCATTTAGAAAAAAATCACGTGTGTTGACTGACGGAGATGTGTTGATTGACTAAATACAGATTAACAATATTTTAACTCGTATGGTAGAAGGATGATTTTGGTGTAATATAGGAGCGATTTTCAAACAACAAAGGGGATATACCAGCTGGCACCGATATACAGCTGGAAATTGCATTTAAATTACAGTTCATAGTGAAACGCTTAAAAAGTGTAACGATAAATACAAATGTGTGAAAATAATCTTAACATAATATTTTGTAGGCCAAAACCTCCTTTCTGGGGAGATGCCTGTGGCGACTCCCACATAGCAGTAAAGCAGTGGACTATTAAAGGCTGTTGATGATGATGATATGATGTGAATCATATATACGAACCGGTATACAATTGAAATTGCCTGTCGTTTTAACCCGCTTTTAGTGGATGTGGCTATAATCTCATGGGACGCGAAAATTTTAAAAAGTATAAAACTTAATAAAACATAAAAGCTTAATTTATAAGACATAAAATAAAAAGTCTCAATTTCACAAGTCATTAAATAAATTTAACTATTTTTATACAGGTACACAGGTTGTTCTTTTTTTGGTTAATACTTTTTTAAGCCTTAAAAACTCGTAAACATGCCTTGTAGAATGGACGCCTCGTAGAATTGAAATAATAGTAGAATAGATAATAAAAAAACGGTCGTCAATTTCTACATTACTTATATGATTTTGTTGATCCCTGAGACTTACAGTATTATCATGTTGCACTGAGTTTCAGTTTCAATAGATGCAAAAGTCGAATCACGTAAACTTTCTGCATCACAATATAACTGACGCAGCAGTCTGTTATGCAAAACCTAAATATAATTTTGACGTGTGGCCCCAGAAACTTTCAGAGATGGTATAGTTGCAATAACATTATATCTGGTTATTTTTCACTGTCGTATCGCTCGCGTGTGTCCAATGTGTACAATAAAGAATAAATAAGCGAAAACTGTTTAGCCCATCTAAAGATAACTGGTTACGTCCATACAACATTTGTACACATTTGTCATCCAAAGTCGAGTTGGATGCAAAGAGTTCGTCTAAGAGATCGGCTTCCTCCTTGGCATCATAGGCCAACGAATCATCGCCCATCTGCAGGGGTGGAAGGGATTGGCTACAGAAATTCCCCTGGATAGCCTTGGCAAGAGGGATCTGGAGGCAAAGTTGTATTGCTTTTTAGCGTGCTGGTATTTACATAACCAACCGTCGCTGCATTAGCCCATGCTTTCGGTAGGACGCCGTTTTGCAGGATGTGTTGATTAAGGCTTGGATCTGCCACCGATGGGAATGAAAGTAGATGGAACAAATAGTCCCATACCCTGAAGCACTACATCACTGAGAGAAACAAACCCGCATCCATGGGTAGGACGCAAAGAAAGAGCGCATCCAATTCCAGTCCGCTGACTGCCTACAACTCGCGGGCTGCGGCGAGCGCATGAGTGGAACTATACTCCGTATTAGGCAATGATCCGAGACGCCAAATGGGGCCTCAACGAAGACTTTATAGCCGTGCGGATCAGAGGTCAGCAGAAGGTCCAACAGTGAAGGCTCATTACTTTACACATCTGGGACTCGCGTGGGCGTTAATACCAGTTGACAAGCCATAGGTCAGGGCGTGTGCTTACTGTAACTTTACCATAGAGCTGTGTTGAGTCCAACCTAGCTGGAGCTAGTTCCTTTCAATCAGAAATCAAAAATTATTATAACATTTTGGAACAATAAATAAGCCATTGATTTTGAAACACCCTTTTACAATAAGCCGTAGTAAAATGTTGCGTTGGTATCGCGTGAAACAGTTACAGTTACCTAATTTAGTAAATGCAATAAACTTCTATTCCAACCATAAAAAATATATATAGCACTTCGATATGAAGTTATTATTTCTACATGCTAGGTGCTTTGCTACCAAAAGGTAGATAATACACTTTTTATAAGGTTACTGCTAGCTACAACACCTAAGGTACCATTAACGCATATTACAGTCGGTTTGGGCAGCCATTACAACTCACTAATCTTCCATTAAAAGCTACTTACCGTAGGTAAGCCACATAAAACATGTAAACATTTTAGTGACGCACGTGGTTAAAAACAGTTATTTCTACAGAACTTTACTAGTACAACTGTGTCACTAAAATAAAATGTTTTTTTCAATAAAATAAAAATACAGCTGGTTTATTTTATACCTGTTGACATTCAATTTGTTTTTTTTTTGCCTTAGAAAAGGGCCTTTCAAAGAAAGTATACATTTCTTTTTTTATTATGAGACTATCATGTTCATAAATAATTATATACCAAATAAAAATCTTGTATAGGCCTCTTAGACTGTAAAAAATGCGACCAACTTTACTTTTACATTTTTTGACGTGTCCTAAAATTATTATACTCTGTCCATTTTTTTATTTTCTTTTGACGGTTGTTGGAGAATAAAAGAAACGAAATGAAAGAAAAATGTACATTTGCAATATTGCTTGAAATTCCTGTTTCAACTTAGGTTAACCAACATTTTAATAAGCTGATACACACTAGATTAGTAATGTCTATAATAATAAAAATGTGCTTTTTACAATTAATGATTAATTTCTAATTTCTTATCTATCATCTATTTTATTTTAATAAATTTACGAAATATATTTTTTTACAATTTACTTCGTTTTTTAGTAAATCAGTGGTTTAGAAACCAGACATTATTTACTTATTAAAACAAAAAACAGTTACATGTTAGATTATAACTAAATATAATTCATACATTAATATGTGTCCCACATAATCGTTCACAAATGTTACTCCGCAAATTTTCTTCACTGTCTTCACTGTTCACAACTGTCTAGGGAGCTATCGAAAATCGTATTTAAAGAATATTCTTCGCGTTAAAAGAATTCGACTTTATACGCGTGATTTCAACGGCTTTAATAGTCTTACATGGCACGTCAATTGTATCTCAGAAACATGTCAAACCAATCCGTATCAAACTCAAACTCTCTTTAATTCATAAAATTTTAAAATTGTATGAAATCGTCTTTTATGTAGACTCTAAAGACATAGATCAACACAAACAAAAGCAACAATCACTGTTTTATCAAATAGTAAGCAAATAAATTTAATAAAAATTAACTTGTACAAAATGCCTGCTGCCTGCAAAATGCGATATGCCTGTGCCGATCTACAACCGCCCGTTTTCAAGGGGTTGAGCCTTTTGCAAAGAAAGGGCAAACAAAAAATCATATCATGTCACACACACACACATTTATAGAAAATTATAACATGTTTAACTTTTCAGTCTCATCTGACTTCTGACTGACTTAATCAGCGGTCAGACGAAACTCAGAAATAATACGTGAGTAGTATCCGTACGTTACTACGTCCTTACTCGTATATATTCTTCTTCTCTTGGGACTCTTACTTGTGTGAGGGAATTAACAGCTGCGCTCTTTGAAAGGAGCTCCCGTCTGGTCGGACACCAGTCGAGCGTCCCCAAAATATGCTCGTTAATAAAATCTTTAATACACAATTTAAGAAATAGATTCTCAAAACTTTGATAAATTACAAAGTCAGACAAGAAGCAGATAATCCCCGCCCCTTGTTAACTTTTGTTTATTTATTTATTGTATTTAAAGAAAGGTTATGCTAATTTGTTATACAATTTAAAAAAAAAACAATTATCATCAAGGGTTATCATTTGGTAGCTGACTCATTATATATTTAAAAAAAAATACCTATCCTGAAAGGAAGAACCTTAAAAAATACTAAAATAATCTAAATACACTTGTCTTATAAATAAGTTACAAAAGGGTATTGTATTGAGATGGCATTAGTGCAGATAAGCTAAAGCTGACACAAATAATTCTTTGGTCACTGGTTGACGTGTATATACCCTGACTGCTATACCGGAGGTCGTGGGTTTGATTCTCACCCAGGACGAATACTTGTGTGATGGCACGACCATTTCTTCTGTGTCTGAGTGTAATTTATCTATAATATGTATGTATTTAGAAATAGATATGTAGGTATGTTTATCAGCAGTCTGGTTACCTTAGTACAGACTTTGCCTAGTTTGGAATCAGACAGCCGTATGTGAGATGTGTGAGGTGATTATTATTATAAAGTATACAATAGCCGTTCACTACATTCCAGTATAATCCGATCAATTTCTACAATCCCATCCACTCAACCTAAGCAGCTTATGTTTTAAGCTCCTGCAATTGAATTCAATTCTGTACAATATTCATGAAAATGTGAGGTCTACAGTGGAAAATATTTAGTCTATTTTTTTTTTATTTGTCGGTATTCTTGTTATTGTGGAGTTAAAAAGTTACAAGAAGTCTATAATAATATAAAGGTTTGTGTTCGAAACACTTGGGACTACAGTAGTGGGCATGTGAGAGGGCCACACGCCCACTACTGAAACTCCAGTTATACCTACCATACTTTCTAATAGGCATGAGTCCTGCAAAATATTTAAAAAAGGTTTTATGCGAAATCCCGCACGTGACATTCTAAAAATTGACCGTATCGAAAGATTAAAGTGAACAAGGACATTTAGGAGTTGGTGACAAATGAAAGGAGATACCTTATTCTAACACTGTTTATTCACAACACATGTTATACCTACAAATGATGCACAACTAGTAAACCGCGTTCTACGTGACCAATGGTTTTTTATAACCGATGCGACCAAAGTGTGCGTCGTCTCATTGCCTATGTTATACCCCTACAATTAATTTCTTTTTAGGCTTATTTAACGTTTGTAAACTGTAAAAGTTGTATTGCGAGTGGCACATAAATTTTAACTCAATCATAACCTAAACAGATAATAACTCAAGGTTTTGAATTTAGTTGAGTCTAATATTAATTGTGCTATCTTAAACTTCCAAGTTTATATAACCATCATTTCCATTTGAATTTAAAAGAACTCGTGTAACCAAACTATATTTCCAAATTCCAGATATGGATCTTCGGCGACGTGTGGTGCTCAGTATGGCTCGCGGTGGACGTATGGATGTGCACAGCGTCGATTCTCAACCTCTGTGCCATATCACTGGACCGATATGTGGCCGTGACAAGGCCCGTGAGCTATCCTAGCATTATGAGCAGGAAGAGAGCGAAGGCTTTGATAGCTGGGCTGTGGGTGCTCTCATTTGTGATTTGTTTTCCTCCACTGGTAGGATGGAAAGATAAAAAAGTAAGCTATTTCTTTATTATTTTTTTTACAAGTTATCTTCTGCGGTATTTTCTGACCGATACTACAAACCTTAAAGAAAAAAGCGTATTCCTTCCTCAAAGGCCAGCAACGAGCTTGTGACTCCTGAGTTGCAGGCGTTTTTGCACTTTCCATCCTGTCGGCTCGTTTGCCACCTCTTCCATAAAAAAAAATGCTTCATTTCTTTATTATTCAAAAATAAATAAAGACAAAAAAAGGAATATATCCTGTGACGCGTTTACAAACATTCATGAAACGGCCACAAAGAACAGCCAAAAACTTATGAATCACACAAAGTGTTGTCCCATGTGGGGATTGAACTCATAACACTCAACACAATAGGAAGCGGCGACATGACGACGCGACGCTTAAACCACTACGCTATCCGTGCCGTTCAGTATTTCAATTTCATCATCAAATCTCATGAAACGGTCAATGAGTACTTAGTTTACCTGGATTAAATTATTTTTAGCAATCCTAATTTCTGAACTAATATTCTGCTTCAGCCCGACGAAGCTGACAAACACGGCTGGTCACCGAACCCTCCCTGCCCTTGGACCTGCGAACTGACTAATGATGCGGGCTACGTGGTGTATTCAGCACTTGGGTCTTTCTACATACCCATGTTTGTGATGCTGTTCTTTTACTGGAGGATCTACAAAGCAGCTGTGAGAACCACGAAAGCGATCAATCAGGGCTTTAGAACAACAAAGGGTAAAGAATACTTAGAATGATGATAAATTTGAAATATATTGTTTGTCAAGCTAAATAAATGGAATGATTTTTGCTACACAGAAGTGACAAACCAGGGTGAAGACTATACCATAATATGGTGTAGTCTTTAATATGGGATAATCAGTGTAAAAACATGATATATCTTGTCTGAGTCTTTTCTACTAAAAAGAGAAAGCTATCACCCTTGAAAGACATGACCTGTTGGTCATTATTAACCTGTAATAATTGTCTATGAATAATTGCCATACCAACAGTGTCCAGGAAGGAGTCAGGGTACTATTCGTCATATAGTGAGACTTAAGATAGTATCAGTTGCGATCTGCATATTAAAGAGTACTTCTTTAGCCTGATGGTATTGATGTACGGGCGCATAGTACTAATACTACCAATGATTTACCTTGAATCAAGACCATTACTAGCCCAGTCACCAAGATGCAAGGCTGTAAAAATAATGTAGTAACGACTACCTTTTTTAAATGTAGGTAAAGGCCTCGGTAGCCGTTTTGATGACAATCGTCTGACACTACGGATTCACCGTGGACGAGGGTCCAACCGACCTCACGGCTCACCGCTGTCGACAGCTTCCAACCACTCAACGAGCACTTCGCTTAGTGCCTCACCCGAGCGATTGAGAAGGTGAGGGCAAACAACATAGCAACTATTTAACATTAAGATTAATGAAATACATATCCAAAATAATAATAACTTCATATTTTTACACATGGCCGTCTAATTCCAAACTACGAGTAGACAGGGCCTGTATAATAGTAACCAGACTGTAATAAACATACCTACCTACTTATGTCTTTATAAATACAAAAAAATAATAAATAAATTGCGGTCAGAAAAAATTGTGGTCATCGCAAAATATTGGTCCTGGATGGGAATCGACTCGAGCTTAGCAGTCAGGATCTAACCACTAGATCAACAGGGCCTCAATTCTGCTATTTTATGTTTACGCCACGCCACTGTCATACCACTGACACGCTATTGAGATGCCATCGAGTGGCCATTGGCATCGGTATAAATATCGGTAGTTGAAAATATATTAGGTTTTTTGAGGAAATGATTTATTTATTTTTATTATAATAAATTATTAGATAAAAGAAATAAATAAATTAAAATAAATTACTAAAAATTAAAATTATAAAAATAATTAAAATAAATAAATCATTTCCTTATAATTTGAAAATATATTACGTTTTTTGAGGAAATGATTTTTTATTTTTATTTTTTTATTTTAATAATTTATTTATTTCTTTTTTTTATAATTTTATTTTTTTAATACTTAATTTTAATTTATTTATTTCTTTTAATAATTTATTATTATAAAAATAAATATGCCACTCGATGGCATCTCAATAGCGTGTCAGTGATATAACAGTGGCTTGGCGTGAACATGAAATAGCAGAATTGAGGCCCAGGTCATATACGAGTAATAATATACTGGCGTGTAGAAATAAAAAACTAATGGTTCACGCAAAATTCTCACCATAAAGATATTAATCAATGAAACAATATTTGAAATATTACATTCATTGAATCCCTTTGTGTTCTAAATATAGCTTTAAGCTGCGATAAGTCCGCTCGTTGTAAAACGCACGGATACGAGTACAATAAAGGGTTTTAATCCATATAATATATGGATTTTTAAGTCCACTTTTCTTATTTGAATTTCGAACAAAATAAACCGTTTTGCTATAAAATGACTAGTAGACTAGTGTTTATGAAACCAGGTTAAAGGTTTTCTGTTTATTTCATTTATATCTTAAAAAGTTAAAAGACTTAATGATTTAGTATAACAAATGAAGCTTTAAACAAGAAGTTAAAAAAAATACATCATCGTACCAGTTAAATTCATTCCCATAGACTTTCAGATGTACAAAGCATAATATAAATAATAAAATACTGATGATACAAGTTTTAAACCAGTTGTGTTAAGTTTCCTTAAATAGATTATAGTTTGTCTAATCAACATTTTGACCAAATCTGACAATAACAGGACAACATCTTGCAGACACTCAAGCGCCAGACGTGCACATGAAAAAGTCAAAATTTCCGTATCGTATCCATCTTCGGAACAAATATGCCCCGCTCATGAAAACTCTAGATCATCAAGTCGATCGCCAAGCCCATCACTATACGCCGTACATTATGAGAGAGATGGTCGAGAATTGACCGAAAGTAGACTACGAGTGAGGCCGTCACATCACTTGGCTCCTGGGCCCTTATATGATGAATACGATGACAAACCTAGGACTACTAGAAGGATGGGGAAGAGGAACATTAAGGCACAGGTAATTTGGACATTTTATTTGACTATTTGTAACGCTATTTGGTAGAGTTCTGCATTTAATTTATTAGCAATCACCGAGGGTCATCCTCGTTGATAAAGTCTCTTCGTCACCAAGTCTCTTGTCCTTACATGCAGGAATAACAGCAGTTAGACATCAGATATGGTTAGTCTTATTATGTTACTGTAACATTTTAAAGTGGGCAATAACCTTTTTTCTAATGAGAGGCTTATGTTCACCAGTGGACCAGTAAAAGCTGTTGATGTAACGATTTTTTAACTATAGATAGTGGTTCATTAAATCTATGTCTATATTTGACTTTATAGATTCCTGCTAAATTGTTCCAAGATTAAGTATTTTTAGCCTAGACCCACTTTTCTCATTTTTCTTCAATCGATTAATTTGACACATACCTATTACACGCTGGCCTCTAATCGCAAACTACGCGGAGCCTGGACTACCGAAATCAAACTGCTGGTAAACACACAAGTATTAATAAATTATAATTATTTGTCTACGATGCGCTTCTCTCGCAGGTGAAGAGATTTCGTATGGAGACAAAAGCAGCTAAGACCCTTGGCATTATTGTGGGTGGCTTCGTGTTCTGCTGGCTGCCCTTCTTCAGCGTATACGTGGTGCGGGCATTCTGCGGGGAATGCGTACCTCCCATTATCTTCTCAATATTGTTCTGGCTCGGATACTGCAACTCGGCGATAAATCCTCTGATTTACGCGCTGTTTTCTAAAGATTTCAGGTAAGAAAATGTTAGAGTTAAGAAGTGAATTACTAAACAGTATTTAATCTGATATTTTGGTATGCCTATAGCTCTTATTCTTAATTTTTTCCCTTAAAGATATAATTAATCGATAAAAAACAGAGTTTATACCAAATCATCAATTTGAAAGCGACATGTAGAACGGTCCATATATAGAATATCTTTTGGATAAAAGCAAAAAGCACTGCTCTCTAGTTGAGGAAAAAATTGTTTTTATGCTAGCAAAGCCGCGAGCAAAAGTTAGCTAATATAAATAAAACACAAAGAAATTTATGGCGGCCAATATTATAATTGAGTTTATCTTTTTATCTTTGGACGACCGAACACACACACCAATGCAATTACTCTCCCAAATTTTATTTTTTTATTTTATTTATTTGGACAACCAGCAAGAACCAGTGATATACAAGTATTAGTGCTGCCTTAATTACAGGTTGCTACGGAAAGCATAATAATAAAAGAGAGTTTGTAATCTAGTCACACGTCCTAGTTAAAAATAGAAGGTCGGTTAATAATGTTTTAACATTCCAGGTTTGCATTCAAGCGCATCATTTGTAAGTGCTTCTGCGGGAGCGCGGGTGCGCGTCGAGAGTCTGACGCCGAAGGCTCGAGGCGACAGAACCATCGGCCTACTCACTCACACTCCCTGGAGGAACATGATGCTAACAACCACACCACTGTATCTACAACAACAGCTACCGATAGGTAAACCCGGTGTTATATTTGTTACAGGCCTGGACAGTTAGTCATGGCATGATAATCCTTCCTTAAAAACTTATTTAAAGGTTTTGTTCCTTCTCAAATAGAAACACAAAATAAAAATGAATGTAATGTAATAACGTGAGAACACACAATAATGCACATCATAGAGAACAAGTTGATTAAAAAAGGTAAAATGGAAAAACAGCAGCTTAGCCTGGGTAGTGACGTTCGCGTATCCTACCCACAGAGTACAATGAGAATTCTACCTATTCAATAGGCTTCATTTACCACAGTAAATACACAGATAACCTATTACCATCAGATAATAAAAATCAGATAAAAATATGCGCTTTTATAAAATAGTTTGCACTAGCTGGTACCCGCGACTTCGTTCACGTGGAATTTGAAAAGCGCTGCCTTGCGCTGTTCGATTCCCGGACCGGGCAAAATTTTAAAGGGTTTCCCTGAGAGGAAAAATTGCTTAAGTTACTCCACGTTATCAAAATCGGTGCAGCCGCTTAGAAGATTACCCGGCACGAACAGGCAAACAGACAAAAAAAATAAACTGGTTTTAGGCATAGGTATCGTGTAAATAACCGTGTGAGCATGAAAGAAACCTATTATTTTGACATTAAAAACAGACACTTCACTCTTATTTATTTGTATAGATATAAAAACTATCAGGTTTAACTGGGTTTAATATTTTTTATACACAATAGGAAAAATGTATTGGCTCATTATATATTACTAGACAAATCAACATTTAACTTATAACTTATATTAATATTATTTTTTTATATAACATAAATATTATGTTCATTTTATTTTCTACAAAATATGGCGCCATCTACTAACCCACAGTCACTTCTTTTTGTCATTTATTAAGTACAACGCCATCTACATTTCACTTGGATAACTAAAACGAGTACGAGACACCGTTCAAAACATGATATTCAATACAGGTGAATATCATGTTTTGATCGGCATGACAAAATTTGTCAAATTTAATGTTTTTATATTATTAACTAACTCTAATAAATTAAATTATACTATACATACATTTTCATTAACATTGTATTGTTTTTTATAGGTGACGTCTAGCTATGCGACGGCAGAATCCACAGTTTCAGACAACCGTCGCATGTATCTAGTAAATAACGTTATTGTTATTTGTAACATCTGTGACAAATTAACAAGTTTTAAAACTTTTTAGATATTTTGGTGTTCGCAAGATTAAAAGTTTTTGTGAGCATAGGAATTTAAAAATATAATAACATGTAAAATATAGATAATGCATGTATGGATTAAACTCATTTCCTTATAAATAATATTATTTTATTTCTTATTAATAACCAACAAATATTCTATGTACCTACGAGCTATTGTAATTATAAAGTGTATTATTCAGTGAATATATAAAGTGAATTTATTTATTGAAAAGACTGTCATAACTTATTGTAACTAATATAATGTAAAAAGATTTTAGTTAACTGTTACTTAATATGAGAAACTTAATGTGTTATTTAGGTTATTGAAATAAATAGTAACTAATTTGCACTGGGAACGAGTGTACAAATACACATTTAGTAAAAACTTATATATATGTTACTCTATGTCAATCCAATCAAAACGTTATGTTTTTGGATTTGCTATAGAACCTCCCGATTTTTAAGCGCTGGCAACTAAACCGTAGTGTCATGTTTTTTTATCCTTAACTCTAATATAAAGAATAATATTTAAAAAATTAAATAAGAACATGTATCCTAAAATCCCTCTCCTATAAGTAGATAAGCTAGAAGCCTTTTAAGGCGTAAATATTAGAACTTCATAGTGTTTATACTTACTAGTTCATAACTACTCCGTACATTTTTATTTTCTAAAGCTGTCCCAACTATCAGCGATTTTCAAAACTTTGGTTGCTTTGGTAACTTTTTATAAAATTTTAAATGTAACCAAATTATTTTTTTACATGACAATGTAATCAAATGACCTTCCCATTTCATAGGCATAAATTGGGGCGCTTTCAAATTGTATTATATTGTCTTATTTTCTTATACATCATTTTCAGTGTTATATCCTTAATATTTAGAATCTTACTATCCAATCTCATTACAGCTCAGAAACACTACTTTATTTAATGTTAAACTTGAACTTAATACGCTTTGTATGTCCCATTTAATCTCCAAATATTAGATTTATTTATTGATTGGTGAGGTGTTGTCATGTCAAGATAAGTAATTATCACACTACACTTTGAAATTTGAATAAAAGTCGTAACTAAGTCAATACTGAAGTATACTTAATCATTTTGGGTGGATACAAAATATACCTGATCAGAGCAGAGAAGTCAGTAAATCTCATAGTTTATATCTCTTTCTTGCAAATTCTATGTAACTAACCAGAATGCAAAACTGTAGTTTGAAAACTGACTTGAAAGGTTGGTGGTTGACAGTGCCTGTTATTATATAAATAATAAAACTATAATTGAAGTCTACTAAGCTTTCCAAATGGATAGATAACTTAAGTATAACAATCACTACACAAAAATGAATAATTATGTGTACAAAATCCTTCTAGTTATATAAATACAGATCAATTGACTAAGTCATGGAGTTGACTTAATTCAAGGTTTGGGCAAGCAGGAGGCGGGGCGGGACGTCAACGTGGCATGAGCGGCTGAAGTGACCGAGCGCCAAATGCAAGGGCATTTGGCGCTCGGAGCAATGTCACATCTTCTATTATATTATAGATAGTATATTACAGTAGCTCATGCTGCGTCACCGTCCAACCTCGCTCACTGTTTAGTTCGACCTTTATTTTCACAATTTTGTAGTACGTAACTGTCTAATAAATTGTCTACGTGTCTACGATAGATTAAACGGGTATAAAAATAGTCAATGAATAATTAAAGATCTTAACGTTCCTTAAATATATTCAATTGTGTATTCGATGTTTTAACATTACATTCGTTAGATGAGAGTATATTTATGTGTGGATGATATCAATATTAATATGAATTAATATACGAGATGTTACCTATTGCTTGTTTCATTTTACCACATTTAATTTAACCATCTTCGTGAAAATATCTATTGCATTGTAACATTATTTACATAGACAAAACTTTAATTGGTTTTAAAAGGGATTCACTCAACAATAACGGTAGAGACAGCGGATTTGATTCCTGTCTTTTATGAAATAGGTGCAAACGAGCACACGGGTCACTTGTTGGGAAGTGAATACCACCACCCATGGACACCTGCAAGTTAGGTCATAAGCGCCTTGTCCGACTATGAGGTGGCATCTTAACTTGGATGTTGTTTCGATCTGAAAATACCACAGGTTACAATTTCTCACAGATTAGTTGTGTGTGGCTAAAATTTTCTTGAAAAGCGCACAGCAGTATAGTGCCTATTATCCAAGTGATGGAAATAGGTGTTTTTTCATGGATCGATGGCAAATAGCTGCGGCCAGTTTGAGTCCGAACAATTTCTCTGAGCACTCCCGGAGTGAAATATTATTTCGCTCTCTTGTGACTTACTCTATAGGAGACTGCGAAACTGTGTTTCCCTCGATATATCTACGCTAAAGATAAAAATCTGCCAAACAAAAATAAATAATGCCGCTGTATTTTATAAATATGCCTTAGAACAATCCGACAAAAATATATTTACATTTATGAACATCTGTGGTAATCGTTACGGGTAGTTGGAGCACTATCGTAGCGTATCGTAAAGGATTTAAGTTGACTAAAACCAAGTTTGGGAAAAAGGATCGGAGGAAAAATAAAAACACACATAAAATATATATTCTTATATAATGAGATTGGCCAATAAATCTACTTTTACTTTTCTAGAATCCAATATTTTAGGCTGAACTACACTTTAGTTATTTATTGTTAAAATATTCGCCGATTCGTTTTAACGTTAATAGTCAAAAATAACGTTAAAACGTTATAGCATTTTGAATAAAAACATTACAGTCATCTCTAGCTAATCAAGACCGATGAAAGATCGGTCAAGACCATCGCCTGTCATTCCATTCCATTCCGATCCGATCATAAACTTCACTCAGTTAAGCGCCCGCTTTCGCCGAGAGGACGTGGTTAATGTTTTACAAATTTAATAATAAGTTGTTGTTATCGAAACAGTATTGAACAGTAACTTTTTTATTATTGTGATAAACGTTGCAAAACTATATCTTTATCCTGTGGAAGTATTATCGCTTGGTAACTTCAAAATGTTTTTCGGAGGTGTAGAAGGGTGAGTTGTTTTGTTTGTATTAATTTTTATGTACAAACCTCGCATGAGATTGAAAGTCGAAAGGCTCGCCTTGAGAATTGCATTCCTAGATTTTGCAACAGATAATTAATGGTACTTTACGTGTATGAAATCTCTTTAGGTATATGTTTTTATCTGACAAAACTTCCGTTCTTAGCGAAATGTCAATGCCATAAATGAAATAAAAACCTTTATTTTAATTATATTTAAGTGTAATAGTGTTGCAATTTTTGAGTTTACAAATTCAATCATAATATTCCGATTCCCAAACTATAGCGCTACTATTTACTTGTTCATTCAATCATTTTTAATATTGTCTCATTTTGTTATGCTCGTACATATTTTGATATTTAATACGTTTTTTAAAGTTACTTCTTCTAACCGCAAAATATGATAAATTAGACAATCAATTTTCTTGTGCAAACAAACAATACATTTCACATAACCACATTCACAAGCTTAATTTTCAGCCAATCAACGTTGAGTATTTGAGCGGCTTGTCCGCCACGCCAACAAAATCAAAACATGCAAAAATAAACTTTAAAATTGGCGATGTAAAGCAAATAATATAAAATACTGAAGTAAAAGAATTCAACTTATTTCGTTCCAGCCTTGAATTTTAGCGTTTACTTTTGATTAAATAGTTCTAAATGTCAACTGGTATCTGGACATCAATTGACTCGATGACTTTAAAGGGGAAAATTATTGACGTGTGCTATATATACCTCACTGGTATGTGGGTGGGGCATTACCTAAAGTGAAACCGAAGCAAGTGCAATCTGAAGTAGGTACCTATGAATAGTGTTTGTAACTAGTTTGAATCGATTGAGCGGCTCGAAACTATTTGAGGTAACAAAGTCGTATGTAAATAAAAGATAATTCCCCTTCATTATCATCATCACAGCCGAAAGACGTCCACGTTTTTCAGTAGGTACGCGGTCCCAATTCGAGAATTTTGTTGGCCGCCCGTTGCCACTTAAGTTTGGCAATTCTCCGCAATGATCGAATCAGGAATGAGGAGATCCGCAGAAGAATCAAGGTAACCAATGCACCTTACCCTAACTTAAATTTTTCCTTCATCTGAAAACGGCAACGTTCCCGAAAAAGGTTGGAGTCAGGCAGGTGGCTCGCAATAAAAGAAACTAGCTAAAACTTTTTGTAACATTGCACCGGGTCCAAATAAAATTGTCAAAATTTGAGTAAATTGATGATGATGATGATGATGATGAATATAACACAAAATATTATAAAGGAAAGTAAGTTTTTACTTTTATCCGGGGAAACCTTAGCCTGCTCTGGGTAACTTCTCAATTCTCATGGTAGATGCACCGCTATAACCTCTCAAGGAAGATACGGCGGTCGGTAAAATTTTAGTAGATTTTCTTTTTAGAATATTTTCTTGACAAAAAAACCCAAAAAGTTCACTTGAAAATACATATACTGGTTAGAAGATATAAAGTATTTCACCGTCTTTACAATATAGTAGGTTGTCATTTAACAAACTGAATGAACGAAGATTTTTTAAGTAAGTAAATATGATGTTACCCTAATTCTCAAATAGGCTAACCTATTTTTTTAAATACTTTTATAGTTTGTGTCTAGTTAGTCTTATTGACATCGGGTCAAGAACCCTGGAGAATTTGACGTAACTCTTCTTACTCTTTTTACGCTTAAACCAATAGACCAATGGAAATCAATAACCGCTGAACCGATTTAGATGATGGACTGCGATAGGCTGATGATGATGATGATGAAGGATATGGGCTAAAAACTAGTGTACAATAATTATGTAGGAACCAGCAGTACCCTACCAAGTTATGCTGTGTCACATTGTGGTTGAGTTAATAAGAAAGGAAGAATAAAACAAACGCGAAAGATGGATAAAAACCATCTTTGAAATGGTCTGTACATCGTGTCAAAATTTGAACTCAATCGGTGCAGAATTCTTTGGGATTTAAATCGAACACAAACCTACTTACCATTTTTATATACATCTCTAGATACATTAATACACAATACTATATTGAATTTACGTAGTTTACACGAGCTAACGATAAGCAAATGGCGCTTGTGTGCGTGTTGCGTGTTGTTAACTAAACTAATAATTATGTCGCACACGTAAGCTGTTATAAAAAATATATAAATCGCTTTAGACGTGCTCATAATTTTCGAAAATAAATAAATAAATAAACTTCTTTAGCCACCACGTGACACTAAAAAAATGCACGAAGTGTAAACAAAAACCTAAAAATTCTAAAATTTCCTTATCCATTATACATGTTTCGTGTTGGCAGTATAAAAGAAGTAAATACGTCACTAGAATACAAATTACTTTCATTCTCGTTTATTCAACATTGCCACTAGGTTTTCCGGATTCCGATATGCGTGATGACACTCAAAGGTTCTTTACCCTTGTGAATCTGTTCATATCACCCGCATGATAACTTACAATGATAAGAAATGCAATCGAAGTCTTATCGCGTGTGTCAAAAAGAAACGTGTTGTTTGGAATCTTTATTTACTAAATAAACAATTTTGTTTTGACGTTTATTAAAAAAATGGACTTGACATGACATGGCTGTCAATTCAAATTTATTATGACTGATACTATTTACATGTATGCAATGAATTCGTAACACGTAATTTAAATAAAATAGATATATACTGTTATCATCATTATACTACAAACTCCAAATAATTAAATTAATTTCGACTTATAACAAATTGAGGCAAACTTAACAAATAAACACATTAATCGGTAATAAATAATCGACTAATATCATTGATAAAGTTGCTATAATTTTATTATAATGAGCATTCGTCCACACACGTTTTAGTCGATTAACGTTTGAATTGGTTGACTAAAATTTTATAAATGAATATTGGTGAACATGAATGGGCCAGCTACTCTTTAAAAAACTCTTTCTAATTAAAAAAGAACCTTGAATTGATAGTGACTCCGTCGTATGAAGATTAAGTAAAAAATTAGTCACGCTTTGAGAATTTAAATTCTTCTTAAGGTTTTTAACATTTGCTTTTTTTGGTGTCTTGTTAGACCACGGCTTGCGTTGCAGTCTGTTAGTAAACATGCTTAGAAAGGCAATTCCTAGACTTGAGTCTACATAGTACTTATAGTTTTAGAAAGTTGTAGACTCGGGAGCAAGACAATATTTTTAAATGCCGAGTTATGAACGCTTTAAGCTTTCGCAGTTTATAAAATATTTCTAATTAAAAACGACTTTAATAAGTATTTCAATAGTAACGTTGCTAAAGCAACAAAGTATACTATTGCTATCACGTGATGCCGAACGGTATAAAGTAGATTTTTTAAAGTGATAGCTAATTTCTAACAACATTTTGAATTCCACAAAATTATTTTGACGATCCGTTTATAGTTTGTGTCGTTCTTTGTCTATTGTAATTTTGTACTAAGTAACCATCGCAACATCCATACAATAAGCTAACACAATAAAATAACAGTAAAATACATTTATGAAATATTTTTTACGCTATCCCTTTTATTGAGAAACGCATGATCAACGATATGATTGATAGAAGTTGTGTAATATATAAAGTTTAATATTGATCACTCACACACACATATTACCTCTTTTCTAAGGAGAGGCCTATGTAAAGCAGTGGACTACTACAGGCTGTTGATAATGATGATACTCATAAAATAAAATAAAAACTACAAATAGTCTCAGTGAAAGGCTACAGACCTATACTATAAGAAAATATATCACGAAGATAAAAGTACTTATGAATGAAATCATGAATTTTCCCCAAAGAAAACGTGCAGTGAATTACCTATTAAGGTTCGAGTGCTCTGACCCGAGTCGAATGCGTCACCTAACACTGGTTATTCTTTCAATAAAAATATTTTATGTTATGAGACTATGGCAATACCATCTTAATATATAATTATATTTACGGGAATTAACAGGCTCACAATAGATTTTATGTGGTCACAGGCTGACGTAGTAGGCAATTCAAAGGTATGTACTTAATACCTATCGTGAGTGCTTTTATGCCCGTAAACATAATTCTATATTATGAAACGCGATAGTTTAAAGATAGAATACTATCTTAAGACTATCCATAAAGTCGATAATATATAACGTAACGAACGTAGAATTGCCTTTCTACTGTCACAATTAATGTCGAAAATAAAACGAATCAAAATAAAAGCATTGAAACTAAAGCCCAATCGTGAAACTCTCTGCTTCTTCGCAAACCACGACTATCCGTCGGAAAATGAAATAAGAAACCTGAAGCTCAATTTCAGCGCCATTTACCGATTCCAATTGCGACTTTAACAAGTGCAGGTAAAGTTGATGTGAAATATACATTTAATGAAAATAAAGAACCTAAAAAAACAAACGTAAAAATATTTATTATTAGTATTTTATTATTTACGGGTTTTCGTCACAATATTTCGACTTCATAGCAGATAAACTGCACGGTACACAAAAAGCCTAGACGGTTTCTTAAACAGTATTACTTAGAGAGAATAATTGGCCAGTGGTAAAATTTCTGATTAAGAATAAGTTATTAATAAAAAGTAACGATTGCTCAATAAGCTTTGGTTCTTGTAAATGCAATAAAAATATCAGTCTCTTATCTAGGTCTTTGTAATCTTTTGAGGCAATACAAATTAACCTGTCTATCCGCCGCGCCGGGGAATTCCGCGAACAACGAACAGAAGTGCCTAAGTGATATGAATCACGTATGTGAATGTTACAAACAATGTTGTGCTATACTATGTGACTCTTTGAATGATTTCTACTTCTATTCTATTCTATTAAATGTGGTATAGGTATAGTGTATAACAAAATGTGGTTTAGATAACCTTTTTTCATTATCAATTATTATTGACTGCTAGAAATGGTGATGGTGATAGAAATATTCTTGATATATACAATAAAAGGGCATTAAACCAGACTTTAGAACCTTGATGCAACTAATTTGCGAGTTTTATT